TTTTTTTTAAAATTAAAAGGGTTTTTTTTTTTTTTTTTTTTTTTTTTTTTTTGAGGAAAACACAACAACATAAATTAGTCAACACCAGCTTTTTGGTAAGCACAATCAACACCAACTTATTAATTAAGCATTGTGTTGATCTAGCTAAAGGAAATAAATAAAAATGAGAAAGATGATTTAGAGAGACTAGAATTAGTGCAGAATATTTTATGTGAAAACTGGCAGAAACTTCTTTAAAAGGTAGACTGATATGATCTTCATATATCTAGCTACCTACCTCATAGAGTGATCTAGCATTTCCAAATATAAAATCTATAGATCCTTGAATAAAACATTCTCTATAATAATGCCTCCCAAGGACATCATTAAGCGTGTCTTGGGCGCCATAAAATCCACATCCATAAAATGCTGCTTGATCTCCCGATACCCGAATCGCCAATGCCTGAGCCCCGACTTCTCCCGGCAACGGTGGAGGAGCGGTATTCTTTTCAAAGAGGACAACATAAATGAATAATAAGTTCATGAAAACAAAAATACATGTTCCCTCAGTGAAAAGAAATTCAATAAATAGCTAGAAGTATATATGTAGTATACTAGTTGATTACTTGGAAGCTAATATTGTAGGCAGTGAAGTTATGAGCAAAGATGGCAACTGAAGAGCTATAGATAGTCCCTCCCGTGGAATTGGCAGTGTCATTCCATGATATGATAGTCTTTTGATAACCCTTCCCTTCGAATATCATATTTGTCTTGTTAACATCCACTATTACCTTTTCCCTGCAATTAAACAATACACACATTTTATAATAGGAATTCAAAAGAAAATTGTTAAAGACTTAACCTGATGAGTGTGTGTGGGATGATAACATGTAAGTGCCGGAATCAATTATGATGAGTGTCCTAGAAGAACTCCTCTCAGGTACAGCGTCGACCGCCTTTTGCACGGTGCTGAAATTCGCGCATCTCTCCAAGCCAACCGTCAAAACGAGGGTCACATTGTATTTGTGTATTAGACTAGATGTCCACTTGTTCTTGTCACATTCAATCTTTCTTCTGTGATGGTGGTGGTGGTGGCGGCGGCGGTGCCTGGAGACCATGTTTGTTAGGTGGGCCAGCAAGTCCTCAACGCCACTTTGCTCGATAATCCTATCGAAAGTGGCGAGCTCAAAAACGTTGTGAGGACTAACGGAAGTACCAATTTTTGAGAATGTAGGGATGTTATGGAGTGAAATGATCATAGAGAGGAGTGCAATGACAAAGGCCGAGAGCCAAAAGAAGAGGGTTAGTTTGGTTTTCATGGCTGAATCTCGCCCCGACATTGATCAATATTTGGTGTTAAGAAATGGGGTCTTGAGATTGTGGGATCTAGTGGGGTCTGCAAGTGCTTTTATTTTGTTGGGGAAGGAGATTGAGTGATGATTGGCGTAGGAGGTAAGAAATATGGCATAGGGCCTCCTTTTTGTATGATGTTTTGAACGTGTGGACAAGATTAAAGTGTCTGTTTTAGGAAGTAATAGACATAGGAAATAGAAGATGAATAGAATTGGCTGCAATGAACCTTGGAAGTTAAGCACGCAAAGTCAACATAAATATAAAATAAAAAGGAGCAAAAGTATTGTGGGCATGATGAAAAGCAGTGAAAATAAAGTGCAAGAGCCTTTGATGATGCTTGTGGTACTTGATTTTTATCTTCTAATTTTTCTCTTCAGAAATGGTTCAAGTCGTTCTTGGCGATAGAAGATTTAGCATTGGGCGGTGGGCATTTTAGTAAGAAAAGGGGAAATAGCTAAAATAGACAATCACTTGTTAATTTGCTTGGAATTCATGGCACCGCCCCAACTTTCATGTCCATTTAGTCTAGTTCTCCTAGTATTTGTTCTTAGAAGAATTGTTTCCAAAGTAATACAAAAGTATATACTATTGAGTAATTTTGCATTGTAATATCAGAAACAAGTTGGAGTGCGTACGAGTTTTAATTGTCAAGACTCCAATGGACCAACAAGATAGAGAAATTGAACACAAATTATGGACTAATTGAAAGTAAACAAATATATTTGAAAACACGCATGCCTGCATAATTTAAAGCGGCGATTACATTAAAAGAAAAAATAAACAAATAAAATCCAAACACACGCATGCCTGCATCCACGAGCCTATTGGGAGAGCTATATAACCTAGAAATATATTTGAAAACGCACTCTCATGGGCTTTTGGAAATATGTACAACCAAAAACCTTTATCATCACAAATGCCTTGATATTTTATTTCACAAACTCCTTAAATTTAGCGACGGTGAAAATAAAGGAATAACAACCCAGCTCCTACATGTCCTAAACATTGTACATAAATTGGCTGCTTTTTAGTTTCGGTCTACATTGATAAGCTTAAAATGATCTATTGAACCAGAGAGTCTCATCTTTGCTGGAGAGGCTTTGCATGAAGGTGGAATTAGGTCTCTTTCAAAAACGATTCATAAAACAGAGCTAAGCCAAATAAATAAAAACACCAAACTTCCGATGAATATTGGGAGATATGCACGAAGAGGCTTGACATCCCATTTCATTAAAAATTCCAGACGCGAACTTCAAAATTAATAAGCTTGCCAAAGAACTCTTCTGCTTTCCCTCTGTTATGACGAGCTCGGGACAACCCGACACTCCGGTACTTTCTTCTGTAGCATAGATGTCCCTTTGAAGGTCACCATTTGGTAGCAAATCTTTCTGTAGTTAATAAGCTGCAGGAGAAGAAAGACAAGATTATGACGTGGGGCTAGTAAAAAGGGGATATAAATCCAATATGCACGTATGTTTCGACAAATATTAAAATTTAACCTGATCCGGTCTAATCTTCGTAAATCCAAATTTTTCCGTCCATATGGATTCTGCTTCTTCAGCTGCTGGGAGCACAAGGCTCTGCACATTCAAGAATGCTAGCAGCTTCTCGATACAAGAGAACAATAATTGGAAGTAGCCCTGTAAAGTTATGGAAATTGAGTCCAAAGCAATCGGAACAATGTTTTCCTGATACTTTCAAGAAGAAAAAAAATGTTCATCCTAATACAGCGGTGAGTTTAATCAGAGCCTAACCAAGTTCGAACTTTAATAACAAACAAAATAGCATATAGTTTGCTAATTCAAAGATATAGAGTACATTGTGAATAAAATATTATTCAAGACTGACTGAAAGTGTCTTAAAAGAAAACCATCAGGGGAGAGAGAGAGAGACATATTCCATCAAAATGGCCTGACGAAGAAACGTCATTACCTTGCCATGGTTACTTTTACTAGTAGCAACCAATGGGAGCTCAGCAATTTCTCGTCCAAAAACTCTAAGAATTCCAGCTGATACAACAGTTGAGCTGCAAAATTAGCAAAGGAGAGTTAACACGGTTTATTATGATTTGTGATGCGCTGTTCTATATTGAAGACATTTTTTTTTCTTTTGATAAGCTATATCGAGGACATTAGCTCTTACTTGACCATTAGTATTGCACAGTACATCCCTCCAAATTCTTGGCCTCTAACATTCCTCCTGAGACAGATAGATTAATTTTAGAAAACATGGGAACGGCGCCATAATTCTGGCTATACAAGATCAAGATGCAAAGAAAAAGATCTTTAGCTAACCCATAAACCATGGCTGGAATAAGGTCACGTCCAGATTGTGAATCAATTATAGGATCAAAGCATTCCTAAGAAACGAAAGAAAAAAAAAAATGTCAACCAAGAAATTCTGTGGAATATGATAAGCCTATATTTTCAAGAGTAGACCAAAAGTGGATTTTGTTTACTCCTTGCATACTCCTCACATGGAAAAACAGCGCAGTACCAGAAAGCGGTCAAAGAAAGACAAGCACCAAAACAAAATAAATAAAGCAAGTACTGTACTTACATGGAATATAGAAACGGCCTTTGAAAGCAATACTCTAGAGTCGGGAGAAGCAATTTTGCCACTAATTAGTCGCCATCTCACATCAAATCCGTTGGCAATGTCCAAACCTTTCTCCTCATGCTTCTTCTTCATAGCATCCAAGAGAGAGTCTGGAAGCTTCTCAGCTTCAGAAACTAGTAGCTTCTGCAGAGTAGAATGAATCCTGCTGCAGTCCATGCAACAAAACCATTTCCCCCTTGGCAATTCCTGTTGCAAAAACATACTAACATTTAATTACAACAAGATTTGCATTGGACTACAGAAAGCACGACTCATGTAGAGTAAGTCAGGAAAAATAAATAAATAAAAGGTAAGAGAACAATCAGTCAACAATCAGACATTTCTCTCACCTTTAGATTTGCCATTTTATGCTTCTTCAAACAGCCAACATGATATTCCTTCTCGCACTGGCAAACAAAGGTGTTTTTTAACAAGCAGTTACCCAAATATAAGCAACAATAATATTTATCATTAAAGAGAATTCATGTTCAAGCAATGTGTGTGTGTGTGTGTGTGTGTGTGAGAAAAGTACCTGATCACAAAGTATAATAGTACGAGGACCGAATCCTGATTTGCTAAAATCATAACCTCTGCAAACAAGAATGAAGAACTAAGTCAGCATATAGCAATGTATCAAACAACTGCTTATCAAAAGTGCGCCAAAAAATTCTAAACTAGTAAGCTTCAATGGCATATCCATCTAGCTGAAACCATTACCTACATAACACGCATCCACTAAGTTCAGCTTCAATGTTTTTCACTATACGAATACATCTTTGGGTTATCTCTTCTATAGGATCAACTCCAGAAATCCTCCCAGCCGCAAGAGCATTTGCATTGTTCGCTACAAATTTCTCTCTTTCAAACAAGTTTTGACAATATTGACAATACCAATCACCTCTAGGGATGGCCGACAAAGATGCACATTCTGCATATGACAATTACTTCATTCATAAAAAACAACAGGCAGAATAACAATATCCATAGAAAAAATCTTGGCAGAAACGTTGAGGAAAGTAAATTAGCCTTCGATGATGATAAATACAGGTAACGCCAAGCTCAATTTACCAAATACCCCAAACATACATATGTGCATAGTTTATTAATTAATAGAGAAAAAAAAAGTGTCTAACGTATAAATTTCAATAACATATTAAGTCGTATAACAAATGTATCAGGTCAACCTAAGCCTTTTGCTCTCTCTATTTTTTCCTCAGATTTCAAATATGCTAAATTTCTCTGACACTTTCGAACGGAATGGCGCTTATTACAAAGCAATTAAAGAAGAGAACAACCAAAAAAAAAGCATGCTTAAAACACATAAATAAAAGCAAATAACTAAAAGGTTAAAGAATATGTGATTCCACCTTTGTGGAAGGCCCTTGGGCATCCATCACAAAGTATAAGATTCCCTCCATCTGCACAAATGATGCACAAGTCATCATTATCTTTAGCTGAATATTTGCGGCCTCTGGACAAAGATATCGCCAATTCGTGGAGTGACACACCATTAGACGTATATATATACGCGTAGCTGCCAAAAGACAGGAAAAGCGCCAAAGATTGAAAAACTTTTAATAGTGATAAGAGCAATTCAGGGCTGATTGAGCTGTTATTTTAAGCTTTCCAGTAAACAATAGAAAGATTATCTTTAAAATGATTCCATTCTCCCCAACCGCCCACCAAAACTACATTTAGGAAGTACAAATAGAAAGACCATTTGGATGTTTTCAATCTTACTCTCCGAGAGTTCTGAAAACTTTCATTCTACTATTTTTTGCATCTGTCTGTTTTAATTTTGAGAGCATAAGTTTTCTCAGAAAATAAACCAAACAAGCCCTTGGATGGCTGAAATACATCTCCAATAAAACTTACGGTTTTCTTCTTGAAGCCCAACCTGCATGTGCTTCAAACTGTGAAGGACTGACCTGCACAATTGATATAAAAACATCAAAAACAGCGATAAAAGATTTAGAGAACTCTGAACTAGAGAGAAGTAAAACAATACCTCACAGTTGCAGCATCTACAAAAAATTCCAGAGCCCTTCTTATAACCTACAAGTAGTTTCTGTTCACCAAAAGAAATACTTTATTTCCATTCATCAAATATAGACCATCTAAGTATATAACTTGTGTAGTTTAACAACCTGTCCACGTGCATAGTACGCTACTTCACTTCCATCAGGCAATACACCATCCTCAAAAACCAACTTATGCAGCCTTATATCTCTTCAAAACACATACATCCAAAGGGAAAAAAAAAAAGGAGTTTTACTCGTCAGAAATGAAAAGTGAGTACTCAAATGAGAAATATGCTTCCCCAGTATATATGAAACACACACACACACACACACGTGTATTCATGAAACCTTACTTCGTTGTGATCTTCCACTGACTTCTCTTTTGAGGAGAAATATTCATTAAAGCACTTTTTGGAGGCTTTGGAGACTTTTTGATCAAAATGGATTTTTTTGGCCTGAAAGAACGTAGATGCAAACATGTCAAAGTCGGGACCTTCTTTTTTTTTCAAATAAATTCAAATATTTAAAAAATAAAGTAATTAGAAGAGGACCAGATATTTCGACATACTCTTCTGGAAAAGTAAAGCAATGCAGTAGCACCAAACCCAACAGTACAAAACTAACACAACTACAAAAGATCTTTCAACCCACATAAATTACCAAAAATCAGAATTCTGAGGTTACCCTCCAAGTCTCAATCAGCACTATTTAAAACAAGAAATCTTTTTCACTAATCATACCAACTGAAAAAGAAAAAAGCAAATGATAAAATAAAAAAGACACCAACTTCTTTGATGTCGTCTTCCATGGTCTCTTATACGGTGAAGATGTGCACGTTGGAGAAGCACTTTTGGCAACATTTTCCTTTGGCAGTGGTGCTGATGACCTGTGTTGAAGATGAAAATAATAACAAACGAATGGGAAGAGAATATTAACGGTTGACAAAAAGGCAAAGTATTCAAAAGCAAATTTCACTCCACATCATATTCTTTTATACTGCAAATCACTTGAGAACAAACGAACCAAAAGATTACTGCACCAAAGAAAAAAGAAAAGAAAAACCAATATGGTATGAGAGATACCTACTTTCTTGCTAGCTTCCAGTCTCTTCTATTTTGTGAAGAGAGGAATGCTGGAGCAGATTTTGGTGACTGGGATAATGAAACTGAAGCAGGGGATCTGAAACAAGAAAAATAGAAGCACAGAATAATTAGGCTTCTGTTTAGCAATCACATCGCCAACTGAAAACTAAGAAAAATATGTCCTTGTACATCCTTGAACCTTTGTATTGCAACTAAAAGGAATCACGTTGCCTGGACAAACCACATCTACTATGCTGGTTTGATTTGTTAACTTTCTTGAAAAGTCCATAACCCATAAACATACAAGGAAAAAATATAACTAATTTCTGCCAATTTAAGTATTTTGTGGGCTAAAAGGTCAAATCTTCTGGGGATTTATTTTTGTTTTTCAGTTTTAGAGTTTGTCTTTCTAGGTTGTTTCACGTTGGCTATGAGCTTGCGGACAATCCCAAAGAAATGGAAAGATAAGGGTAAGAGTTTTTGCGGATCTCCCTATTACCGGGAAACCCACAAAAGCAAAAATGGGTTGTATTTTTGATATTTTTTGTTTAGCTTTCTTTTGAACAGTAATATCAAGGGAAAGCTTGGTTTGGGTAGATAGGAAGCTACTGGTGTGAGCTTAGTAGGGATTTGTTAGGTTTTGCACACCATCTTTCATATATACAACCATGGTTCATGAATAACAAATCTGGACAAGATAACTTTACGACATGTTTGCCAAATCTTAATAGAATGTAATGGGCCTGGGAAGGAAAGAAAATTAATTAAGAATAGGGATCATTGATTTCCGTTTGAAACAATGGTTTATAAATAACAAATCTGGATGAGATCACTTTTACGGCATGTTACTAAATCGTAATGGAATGTGATGGCCTTGGAAAGGAAAGATAATGAATACGAACATGGATCATTTGATTTCCGTCTTAGCATTTACTTATCTATCGGGAAGTGGAATCAAAAACAAAACCAATCCCCTCCATTTGGTTCACAAGTTGGAATTTGTGCGATTTTTTAACCTTTTTTGGTTTAAATTGAAATTTTTGAATTTTTTACTCTAGCGTAAGAGTTCAAGTAATTCCGGATTTGGGGTTCTAAGCCAGATTTTTCAATCCAAACACAGTCCGAGTTTCTTGTTCCAAATGCCGGTTTGGATGGCAGTTCTGATTAAAATTAGACTGCAGGATCAGAATCTTAGTAATTTAATGACTAAAATGTCCTCGTACATAATTAAATGACCATTGACTTGATAAGGACATAAATACAAGTATTCATCATTCATTCAAATAAAGTAGAATCAATATCAACGAAGCATTAAGATTATTATTCAATTTCTTCAGTCCCTACAACATATGGGCCCCACTAAATTGCCATTTGCTAATTTCGTAAGTAAACACATGAATAGGTAAGAAAGAAAATCACTCCTCCATTTCGCTTTCGTATTCATGTGAAGTAAACATGCCTTTAAAGACGTCATACCTGAGTGCAACATCAGTTGGGCTGCAGTCTGGCTGCTTTTCCTCGATGCACGAATTGCAGAGAGATCCATCCTTTGCGGCACACAATGGAGGAACGGAAACTAGACACCATCGAGCACCAACAATAATAAAAGGAAGATGTTTAAATTATATAAACAACATATGCTGAACTTGCTTGATGCAGGGCCAGGCCACTGCAATTTATACCTTTGCATTTTTTACAAGTGATATATTTCTCTTCTGGTGAAGAACTTATGAAACTCTGAACGGTTGCCTCCAACGTATGCAGAGGAACACCCCTACATGTTTTCAATAGATCAAGCAGGCTCCTTCCATTCTCCAGGCAGATGTATTGTGCCGCTCGTCTGTATTGTTTACAAGCGTGAATCTCAAACTGGGATGGCGGAATAACCTACATTAGTTGGTAAGAGAGATAAGCAAATAAAGGAAGTCCTCAGTCAATGTAGGACTACTCATAATGCGATATGGGTGTTCATCGTCTGTTTGCTTGGTCTAAAACTTTTAAGTAAATCAAACCAAAACAACTCATATAATCATTGGCTTGTTCGATTTGTATTTATAAGCCGAATAATTTTTTATATTTACAAAATTTGAGTCCATGGAAAATTAAGTGTTAAATATTTTAGAGTCTTTTAACTAATAATTAGAAACGTAACTTGAAAAAAGTGTAGAATAAGAATAGGTTACCTAAAAAGATGACATGAATGAAAATATACAGAAATTTCATATGTCAAAGATGACAAGTATAAATACACACACATATATATATATGCATATTATTTATTAGTTTATATGCATATATATATATATATATTGTAAACGAATTTATATGAAAATTATTTTTTTGGAGATTTAAAAATTTTCTAAACCTTGAACCGGTTGAAAAAAATAAAACAGAGAGAGAGTTCTAAAACCAATCCAGACTAACTAAAAAATAATATTTAGTGTGATCCATTTTTGTCCCCTTTTTTTTTTTAACACCGCTAAAATGCGAGGAGTTATCAACGTAAATAAATTCTCAATTCTCACTCTGCAGCCTTTGCACAAAGCACACGAACACAAAATTCCTCCGTCTCTAATCGTGCCCCGCAGACCAAATGCCTGAAACAACATCACCATCCTAAGTCTTGCTGAAGAAAGCAAAAATACCAAAATGAACAAACATGAAATGGGTAATCAAAAGAACCTTCTTTCCACCCATGTAAACCACAGGGACTCCATCAACCAAACCGGTATCGAAAAGCTCCTTGACGGTCGTCGGCTTCTTGTCGAGCGCAATCTTCTTTGACATCTTCAACTCCAACTTATTCTTCGGAGTTGACGATGAATTGACTGCAACATTAGACTCTCCGTCCAAATTCAATACCGGTTCGTTTCCGGCAGCCTCCGGTGGTGCTGCATTTGCGGCAGTCTCGGGTTCCGGTGGCTCGGCTTTCGGTTTCAAGGCTGAGCGAGTGAACCGCCGTGAAGCCACTTGAAGCGAATTCTTATCTCCATGAATGTCCTTAGCTATTAGAACTGGAACTTCAACAGCACCATTCTCCAAGGCCAAAGAAGGCTGAAGAAGCTCACTAACTGGTTCCACTTTAACCCTAGGAATCTCCAAACTGTAATTCGATTCCTCTTCCACTACGACTTCGACCAATTCTTCACCCCGTCCGAGAACCTCCTCGGGACGAGGCTCGGCCGAACGAGTCTCGGACTTCTCCGAGCTCTTGCGCCTCTCCACTTTCTCATCCTCAAGCGCATTGCTCCCGAGCTTCCTTCCTCGAGTGTACACAATCACGCCGTTCACAACGCAGCCTTTGAATCTCTTGGAGCTCGAAGAATTCTCCGAACTCGTCGCCGCGGAGGAACGAGTCCGGCCGAGCGATTCGCCGACGAGCTGAGCCTTGGCCTCCCATATATGAGCCAATTCTCGCTTCATGCCTGATCAATCAAAACCCCCCAGAAACACAAAATCCGCAACTAGAACAACAACAACAACAACAACGATCAACCAAATTCACTCAAAACACAGCAAAACTACCGTAAAAACTTATCATTCCAGAGATTAGAACCCTGAACCCTAATTAGGGAAAG